GGCACTTATCTAAAAAGACAAGGCCTGAAAAATTTTGGCAATGACACTTCTGCCCTGCAGGGCTAAGTGCTGGTAGACTGGGTGATCACCAAAGGATCACTGGACAGATACCAATCTGTCCAGACAGCACCAGCTATTAAATACCTTCCAAGTGCACCGGAGAGGTAACCAACTCTGATTTGGTGTAAGAAACGTGTTGGGCAAAAACTTTTTCAAGGCACTACCAGTTTGGTCTACCAGTCACCAGCAGTTTCACATGCATGAGATGCATGACACGCCTCAGTGTGGAAGAAGCCCCTTGGAAGGACTCGCACTCAGACATGTACATCTGAGACCCCCAGGCAGGTTTGGATGAGTGACACAAGGAACAGTCCTGGAGGAGGCTGGGCTGTAGGGTCCGGTTTCATGAGTGACCCCATCCAACAGCCACCGGCCATTCTGAACTCCCTGCCTTTACCCCACTTGGGACAGTGGTCCGGCAGCCATGGTGGAGGGTCTTCATGGCCATGGACGTGACTTGTCACAGCGGGGGTAACTCCTGTAGCTTCAGGGAGGCAGTGGAGCGGGCCCCTCCAGGAGAAGGTGGTGCCACCAGACCTCAGTCAGGCAAAGCATCAGTGGCAGTGAAGCGAAAGGTGCATTTTCAGCCATTTGCTTCCCACCCAGACCCTAGCAAGCCCTGCTCCAGTAGGTCCAACGGCCGCCCAGCACCTGGGCACAGGCTGAGCATGGCAGCACCCCAGCGGTTCCATGACCATGGCCCCAGCACACCCTCTGGAACGAGAAGGAGAAACCAGACAGTGTGCCCTGTGCCGCCAGTCATCAGGTCTTCCCTGAGCACTGATCCAAGAAGCCTCCGCCTGGGAAGCCGGAAAACCTCCTGTCCTCCCCTCCTTTTACACAGCCTCCAGCTGAAGGCTTTGCTTTTCAGAACAACTCGAGTGATTGCTCAAGGGCTGCTGTCTCAAAAGCCTGAGCACAGAGCGAGAATCCCATCGTCAGCCTCTAAGAGGAAGCCCATGGACATTTACTGTTAACCATCAGCTCAAGATGGTGGTATAACTGCAACATGCAGAGCTTTCTCCACCCTCTCCCCAAACCAGCCTCGGTGAGCTGTCCGGAGCGGTTTCCAGGGCCAGTAAAATGAGTCGTGCTGCCTAAGAGGACACCCCGAGGAGACAGCCCCACCAACTGCAAGGATGGGCTCTTCCACCCTACCTCTCTCTTGCGGATCCACGAGGATCCATCTCACAGGCAAGCCCACCTCTTTCTTCTAGGCTGCTTTCATCCTGAGCACCATGCCAGGAAATCAGCTCAGGCTTCATCACCAGACTCCTGCTGCGCATTTCCAAGGGAGCACAAGCCAACACATCTGAAAAATGGAGCTCAGCCAGCATCTGCTATTGAACAGTACGTGCAATGCACTCCTTGGCACAGCCATGGAGAAGAAACTTGTTTCTTATGATCAGAGTCCTACCAAAGCATGTGATACTCTGCTGCTGCAACCCCAATGGGTCAGAAATGATGGGGTTTGGCTATGGGAATGTGACTTCTGCATCAGTCAGTGCTGCAGCAGCACAGGAGCTTGTACATGGTGGGGTTTGTGTTGTCCTCAGTGCCCCAGACATCCCAACTTAAATATCGTGCAAACCAGCTGCAAAGGGCTGGGTATAAAGAAGATAAGCCAAGTTTCAGGACTGTTGTCCCAGAGGTATAGAAGGGTAGTCTTACCATATGTGACTAATTCAGGACAGTCCATGAAATCACTGGCCAGGCTAAGCATTTGCAAAGATGTTTGCAGAAGTTTTAGGCAGGAGGCCATCTCACCTACATTTATTAACTAAAAGGTAAGTATTTTAAGCCATAATTGATGGAGGCAAAGCAGATCCCTTCAAAGGGTCATCATCCCATTTACACTTGCATAAGTGCAGAGCTGACAGCCTTGTGTTATCTGCTGAGGGCACCACAACCACTGTCCTGGGCTGGATGGACATCAGGTTAACAAGCCCGAGCCTCAGGAACCATATTTCGCAGAGGAGAATATTCGAAAGCTTCACAAGGTCAGTGAACACCATTCTCATGAGTACCTAAAATAAACTGCTGTATGTTGTGTATCCCAGCCAAACTCAAGCAACTAAAAACATGGAAGCCTTCCTCGGCCAAATGAGGTAGTCCTGAATGAGCAAAGGCAAACTGAACAGCTCACCAGACTGAAATGTGCATGCCCTGTCTATCTGGGGTTTTGGGGATGTTCTCTGTGTCCAGTGAACAGGGGGACGCACTCTGAGGGGTGCCCAGTTTGTCAGTCCGTGTCCCCTCATGGCCACTCCTGCTGCCTGGGAGTCCTTGGGGGTCATCTCCCCTGTAGGGCAGGCAGCACCTTGGAGTAAAACACCTCACAGGCCCATGAAGTGCTGGGTGGGCCTGCTCACCCTGTCCTCACTCACCACAGCACCACTAGGTTGATGGGGAGCAGGGAATGGTGGTACCCAGCTCCCAGGCATGACCACCAGCAGAGACCCTGGTCCCTGCCGGCACCGGCACCAGCACCCAGCCACAGCAGGTCAGCTCAGGCAGAGGGGTGGGAAGCCCAGGGAAGGGATCCAGAGGCACCAAATAAGTTCATCCTGACCCATGGAGTGACACATGGGTGCCACCAGAGCCAGATGGCAGCGCTCTCCGAGGTTTTGGGGTAAAGGGGGATTTTGGGGTCAGGGCCTTCACTTTTCCCCTCCCTCTTTCTCCACTGCTGTTCTGACTCAGTGCAGCTACCAAAGCCCAATATTTCTCTCATGCTTTCCAAAGGCCTTACACTTCTTCTGAGTTTGATTTTTCCAGTTCACCTTTCAGCAGTGAAATCAAAAAAGCTTGTATTTAAAGTGAAAAATGAAAACATCACATCACAAAGCACTCACTCTTCCTCCCTGTCACCATGCCCCCATCCAGAACAGACTTGTCCGTCCTTCTGTCGTTTTTCCTTTCTAATTCATACTATCATCAATTTATTTCTTGACACAGTCATTTCTGGCGCCTACTTGTTCTCTAATCTTTTCACAGAAACCCACAGAAGAACTGAATCTAATCCTAATCGACCGGCTCCAAGCCCTGCCCTCACACGATGCCATGCCGGCACCAGCAGCTGCGGCACCGTGACGGTGCAGGCAAACCCTTCCCACCAGTGCGCAGGGACCACGTGTGGGCGGGAGCAGGGATGCCGCATCACACGAAACCTGCCGCGAGCAGCGTCAAGCCGAATGCGACAAGCAAAAATGGTAAAGAAGTTATTGCAACAAGCCAGCACGAAATTGAATCGTTTTTCTTCATTAGACTGTGTTGCTGTTACCAGCTCTTAGCATGTGTGTTGAGCTGACTCTACACCGACACGTGCACCAGGACGTGCTGACAGTGACGGACTGAGACCCAGGCATGCACATGCTTGCTTCCCGTGCGCTTGTGCATACACCTCCATGTACATCCCTGTACTGTAGCACCTCCGGGTCATTCACAGCACAGTGTGGGGAAAAAAAAGAAAAAGATGTCCCTTTCAGCACCTCCTCTTCTGGCTTTGAGATGGGGACACCTGATACAGCCACCGAGCCAGATGCCACATGAGCAGCCAAGGTTTGCATCCTCTTCCCAACACATCACTCTGAAACTTGGGGTCTGTCCTCACTCCAGCTGCGGTTGGGGTGGGACTGAGCCACCCCATGCAGCAAACGCTGTCATGCCCCTGCCGCAGAGCTGGGTGTGGGTGCCACTCGGGCCGATGATGGGATGGGAGAACAGGAAGACACTGCAGAGCTGCAGCACGGAACTGACTTCTTCTGCCCATGCTTCTGTTGACCACCCTGGAGGACTGCAGCTTGGTCATCTCCAGTTCCACAAGAGCTACGAGGCATGGCATTCGGTACTGCCCCAGGGAGGAGGCAGCACAGTCACTCATTTGCAGCAGTTCCCACGTGAGCTGTGGCAGACATGAATGGGTTGCCCGGTGCAGAGGAGCAGGAAGCACCCGAACAAGCAGGCACAGGGGCGATGGGGAGCAGCCAGTGCTCTGCTGGGGCCAGACAGACACTCCCCACCACCTGCATGCCAAGAGCATTGTTCTGCCTTCCCGTGGAGACACTGGCTCACGCCTCTCCTTGCTGCTCCATACTCACAAGACAAAGACTGGGGACTAATGACCACAGTCTTTTCACCATTCTCAGCTCTCTCTATTCCTGTTCTCTTTATTCACCCCGAAAATAATTTTTCAACCCAAGTATCCTTTCTTCCTGCCACTTGCAAATCACAGCATCTCTCCTTTTAGCTCCTCTTTCTTGCCAGCACAGGGAATTAATTGAACATAGGCGCTGTTAAGTGCTTACAGTATTACACTTTCATCTTGGTGAAAGGAGCAGGACTTAGTAAAACAAACTGTGTCAGTCCATGTACTAGTCCTGATTAATTTTGTCAAGGTTTCTGCTTTCAGGCTGATACTGCCAGAGCTTGCTCTCAGGAGAGAATTACTAAACGCTCTCACGTATACTCCTGAGAAGAGTGGAAGCATCCTTGATATAGTTTAAATTAACCTCCTCTCCACTGCAGGTGCTCAGGCTCATCACACAGAGCCTCTGGGTGTGCAAGGAGACTTGCAGCAGGATTTCAAGGCTCTGCCACAGGATTCCTACTTGCCCTGAATTACCAGTGGGGTTAGCAGACACCCTGGCCAAGAAGGGATTGCAGGATCAGGCTCCCAGGGATAAAGGCAGCGCTGCAGTTAAGCGGAATCTCTGCAGGGCACAAGAAATGTGTCTGACCTGCAGCCTACAGCCAAACAGGGAGACATTCTTGCTCAGGTCCTACAGCTGTACCTGGACCTCGCAGTGTCTCTTGGAGCACCAGCTCAGTGGCCTTGCCCTCCAACACTGTGTTGGCACGGGCGAGCGGACTGGGCTTCCCCACATAGGTGTTGAGTCATGGACCTTTGCAATGCCCTGTATGGTATGATGTTGACTTCTAATAAATGCTATTCCAAACCGACCACTATTTTGCTTTTGGTGCTTTTCTGACAGAGAGGCTTGAAATGAAAGAGAATCCCAAGGTTCAGCTCACCAAGACCTCACTGCCCAGCTCTCACATGGTGCCCATGGGGCATTTGAGCAGCACAGGGAGGTACAGGCTACACCAGCTCTCAACCAGCTCAACAATTCCTGCAGCAATGACAGGAACAGAGCGGAACAGGTATTTTAAAACTACTAGTGGTTAGACAAGGGGATCCCCCTCCAGGAAACTCCAGCACTCCTAGTTTTGTGACGAGGCTGAACTTGAATGGTAAGTTCATCCTTAGGACTTCTGCAGAACAAAACCTCCAATTTTGTTTTCTTTTTGATGCATTAAAACTTCCAGTCTTGTAACTCCAAATCAATGCATCATTGCACATACAAAGCAATATAACATTATCTGTGCAGTGAGTCTGTGTTTACTGAAACATAGGATTTTGAAAATATAAAAACAAAGTATTTAGAAGAGGATAAAAAGAAGGAATATAAGATTATACATTTTAACAACTCCTGCCAGCAAAAAACTGCCAGCATTGTTGTCATTATACCACGAAACATTTCAATTTCAATAAAGCTGCAGTTTCTGAAGGATGATGGTAGCATCCAAATCTTTTTGCCCTTGCCTCATTTAAACACATGTTCACAGCATGCTGCTGAGTAAATACTGCTGTAGAAATCCTCACCAGCGTGAGACGCAAGCCTTGTCGCGGGCAGCATGCCTCCATTTCAGCTGTGCTCATATGGCGCAGCTCCCGCACAGTTGAAAACGAGACAGAATTTGCCCCCAAAAATGTACCATCCGAAAAGGACATGAAAAAATGAGGAAGAACCAGGAAAAAAGAGAATGGCACAGTCAAAAGGTGTCCTGGCAGAGAGCGGCCGGCTCCTGACAAACCTGTTTTAAAGTCTTCTCCTTACCCAGACTTGCCCATCTCCAGTGGCTTTGGAGCACTGTGGGGAGTTACCCTGCCCTGCACCCTGGCCAGCATGCTCAGAGCTTATATGAGCCCATCATCTCAAACGAGCAGCCAAGAAGGTCGTGGGCACAACTTGCTGCTGCTGGAGTCAAAGGGCCACTGCCCATCCCCGTCGGGCAGCACAGAGCTCTGGGATGGCTTCAGACTGGCTCTGGGCTGGCTCCAGTGCGGCTCCATTGTTCATGGCCTCCTCCGTGGAGGTATGCACCTGCAGGCAGAAGCATGGCATGCAGCCCAGGAGCCTTGCCAAAAGCCCTCTCTCCACTGGGAAGGGCAGGCTTGGGTCTGGGTTTTCATTTATTTTTAATATCCTGCCAGTTTCTTTACCAGTTTGCAAGAAAAATTTAAAAAGCCACCCAAAACCTGGCTTCCCAGGCCTGTCCATGCAGCAGAGCTTTGCTAAAGCAGCTCTCCTGCTTCCAAAGGAGTTGCAAAATTAGAAATTAGGAAAGCGTGGTTCCCCACCCTGCCAAGACAAAATCCCGCAGGCGCTGCTGGCTGTGGCCATGGAAACTGCGGGTTTAAGCGCAGGGACTCCCCTGGCTTTGTGCAGCTATGCCCATCCATATTAGCTGGAGATCTGTCCGCTGATTTATGATGGAAGCACTAACAAACCCTTAAATGTGGCACGGCAAATAGCAGCATTATACCAGCACCATGGCATGGGAGGCAGAGGCTGTCTATTGCTCCCCGAGGATTTGTTTAAGGACAAGAACCATGATGAATACAGCCTGGGTGGCTCAATTACATGGGGACTCAATTACTTAAAACAAAGAAACTGGATGAAAAAAGTATGACAAAAATTCAAAATTATTTCTCTGCTGGAGGTCACATATAACAGCCCTGTCATCCATAAATCTGGAAATCTCTAAGGCATGCTACTCCTGTGTTGAGAGATGACAATTAATTGGTATTTTACTTACCTCATCCATGCAAATTATGCAGGGAAAAATTCTAATTACTGAATGCTACATGTATATAAGGTCAAAGTGGGCCAGCTTTTGACAGTGGTGTAAAATGGATTATGTTTATCCTTCACATGAGGGCCATGATCCTGCATGAGTCACGGGGCTCCTGCCCCCCACCGCTTGTAGGGACCATGCTGGCGTCAGTAAGGCTGTGTGGGCACAGCCATCCCTTGCAGGAGGGATGGATTGGGCAAATGCACAACTGGGGAGCAAACACAACGTGAAGTCGGGGAGAAATGCAAAGTGCTTGAACAAGCAAGAAACAACAGCATGGGGAGCAACGGGGCTTGCATTTGGCTGTAAGCAACCTAGCATCTCCCTGAAGCAGGCGCTCCCGATAAATCACCCCAAGTTTTGTCTGAACAGGATTCCTCATCCTCAAAAAATGGGGCTCTTGCCTTCTGGCAACACTTTGCGTCTATGGAAGGATTTTAGGGGGCAGAAAGGGGAAGAGAAGAGGTTTGGGCATGGGGCATGGGGCTTCTTGCTGGCAAAGGGAACCAAGAGCACTTGTGCATTCTGATGGAGACATCAGGGGCCGAGCATGGCGACTCAGGACTGCGCCAGGACACGCGTCCCACCACCTCAGCGGTTGGCAATTGCTGCTAGGTTGAAAACAGGGCACAGCTTGCACCAAGCCCCCAAGGCTGGGAGAGCAACTTACCCAGGAGTCCAGGGTTGGGAAATCTCCATGAGTCATTGTACGTTGAATATTGTGGGTGGCTGTACGGGCTCCCAGAAAAGTCGCTCCCTAAGTTAAAGAGAAAAAGACAAAACAAAAGATCATTTGATTTGAGACCACAGTTACCATTTTGGGGGAAAGGAGCTATTCAGTGCGCACTGTGCTCCAGTGATGGCCTTAGTCAAAGCACTACTGGCTACCCTCTTTGAGGAAGGGCAATATGGATGGGCAAATTATTAAATAAATGGGTGCAGCCATCTTTTATGTGTCCTTCTTGCTTTGCAGCCCAGGCCTGCTGAGCTGGTGGGATTTTCTCGGGCACCCTGTGCTGCAGGAGCAAGACAGCGAGGAGGGATGGATAAAAGAGTCTGAGACACAGTGACGGGACTGGCCCTTGCCTTCACAGCCCTACAGCGCTCAGGGGAAGAAACAATACGAGGACAGGGCTGCTCAGACAGGCTCTCTGCCAGCAGAAGATGAACCAGCTAATGTTCTAGATACTGGGTACTCTTCCAGGCTCTACAAGAGAACATGGTCTTGGTCCCAGATGTCTGTCCATTGCTGCAACCCAAGGAGAGTGATGCTTGCATCAGTTTCAGATGGCTTTAAACCCTCTAGACAAAGGCACAGAAAAGGCTCAAAGAGCTATTGCTATTTATCTCCTCACCAGCTCCCGCTTTCCCCATCTGTTTTTTCTCTTCACATGTCACCTCCCGTTTCATACTTCAGCTGCAAGCTCTTCAGGACAGAGCCTTGCACCATGGGGCTCTGACCCTAGGCAGGGAACCCAGCTCCACCACCATGCAAATACCAACACTGCTTCTGATTTATTAGGAAATCTTCCACGAATGACAGTTTCCCGCTCTCCTCCTTTCTTTCCTCCTCCTCTCCTTTTCCCTCTCTCAAACACAAATATATGCACGCACAACACAGCATGGCAGGAGAAAGAGTAGGTCTCCTATGGCAAGAGAAGAAGAGGGCAGCCAGGCAGCAGCAGATGATCACTGTGACCTTCGCCTGTTCTGGTCCTCAGTGCTGGCATAGCCCCTGCCCCAAACCCAGGAGCTGCCTTTCCCCCCCCGCCACATCTCCAGCTCCCCAGGCTCAGCAGTCCCTGCTGGCACAACCCACAGACCTGCCCTGGGGATCACATCCGAGTCCCCGGGCCCATGAGTGGCCTCCTTGCTCAGGACAGAGTTTTGGCGAGTTGCTGACCCAGGGGAGAGGGGATGATGCTCTGGTCAAGGTGGTGTGACCCCACTGCGCTGCCTGTCTGGGAGAGCTCTCGCCTGCGATAGCTCTGCAGTCCTGGCAGCTGCTGTGGCCACCTGCAAAGGTATTTTCTGCCAATACAGAAGTAATGCAGGTTGGTGATAAAATTTATGGTCAGGTCCAGCATAGCTTGGTCTCCACGTGATGCTGCTTCAGTAAAAATGAGCTGCCTCTCAGCCTACAACAAAGGACGCCAGTAAACACACTGAATGTGCTGATGGCAAGAGCCACCCATCACTGGTTTGCTCCAGGGGGTCTCCGTTAACAACCCTTCATTGTTCCCTGCAGCCCTTCAGACCCATAGGACTGCAACCACCAGCCTCGACCTGCTTTCTCCCGCCCAACCCAGTGTCCATGGACAGGGCAATGAGATGAGGTCTGAAGTCATCAGCAGCAAGGACTTCCACGCTCAGCACGCCTTGCTGTTTTGACCACATTTCTGCACAAGGTCAGAGCAGGTTTTCATTACTACTTCCAAGGACTGGTATTAGTTCACCATGAGCCATGGAAAATGGAGCTGTTTCCAAACCTTTCTTCCTGGTGAAGTACATCGTACCTACATTTTCCCTCTGCTCCCTGCCCTGGATGACAGAAGACTTCAGTACCTGAAGGTTATCTCCGTGACAGTGCTCACTCTAGAAGAGTGAGGCATGGTGAAGATGGCAAAGCCAGAAAAGACGTCAGGAGCCACTCGAAGTACCAGGGCCACTGGCAAAGGTGTCCCCATTGCTTTCTGCCAGCCAGGGAGCAAGCTCCCTCTGGCAGGACACAGTGGTTCCTCTCTGGTCCCTTCTGCCTCCCCACTGCCACACCTGAGGCTGTCTGCTCAGCCAGAGCCCTCCCTGCTCTCGCTCTTTTCCCAAATCCCTTCGGCTTCCAACAAGTCTCTGACCTGGCTCTGCCCTACCAGTGTTTGCCCAAGCCTGCAAAGCGCATGGGCAGCAAACTGGCTGGTAACATCATGGGTGAGTGATACGATCTTCCCCAGTCCTTGAAGGCTCATGGCCAGGTCCTCCTTCCAGTGTATGCTGCACAAAAATCCCTTCATCCTGTGGATGCCTCATCTATGGGAGAGGCTTGCGCACTGCCTGTCCCAATGGTTTAATCTCTTCCTTTCCACAGGGCCATGAGAAATGCAGAGATTTAGCAGCGAGCTGCCGTACCCCTGTGAGAGCTGTGCCCGAGGGAGGGCACGTGTACCCATCCGAGGACAGGACAATCCCTCATTTTCAGCTGTCCCACCACTCTCCCTTCCTCCCCTTCGCACCCACTGCTCCCCTCTCTCGTCCTCCTGAGGTTGCACAGACCCGGTCCGTCCCATGGCGATGCTGCGCATGCCGCTGAACAGGCAGCAGCGCTTTCTAAATGCTCATCAACGCTGCGGCAGGGCTGCGGGTGGGAACGGGCTGACATTTCATTGTTTCATCCTCTCCTGCCTTGCTCTCCTCCCCCACCATCCCCACTGCCCTCCTCCCCACACTCACACACAGACACACATCGTGGACCCTCTCTGGGGGATGCTCCGGTGCCTGTCAGGCTGAGGCTTCCAATTCTCTGTTTTTTATGCCTCAGTGGTCAGGGTGTCAAGCTCCTGCAGTACAGACCAGCCAGGAGCTTGAGGAGTCACTGAGCACCATCAGCTCAGTGACAGTATTGCTTGCTTCTTAACATACTCTGCATATCCATCAGCCTTGCAGAAAAAAAAAAAAAAAGAGAGAGAGAAGGGGGGCAGGAAGGAAAATGAGAGAAAAGAAATATGAGAGAGGGGAGGGGAAAAGGAGAAGTGGGGGAGAAAGTCTCAAGCCCTGCTACTACCATCGCAGCACTTGGGCAGACAAATAGTACAGTCATAACTGAAACTAAGCTAGATGAATGAATGCTGCATGAATGCCTTGTGATTTCCACCAGATATTCCAAGGTCCATCAGCTACACTTCTTGACAGCACTGCTTAGCAGCCAGCCCTTGCCCCATTCAAAAACACAACGAATCAGCCACCCAGGGACACGCACACGTGCGGTGTGTTGCACACACGTGCACAGTGCCTGTCCGTGCCGCGAGGAAGGGGTGAAACGGTAAGCCCCCTCCTTAGTAATTCTGGCATCACTGAGACACAAAGGCACGAAACCAATGGCTTCTGCCATAGTTATCCCACCTCTTGCTGCAGACCTGACTCAACACTGCCACGATGCTTTATGTGGCTGTAGCCCAAAAGGGGTCAGACCCCCCTGTCACCACCAGAAGCAGAGGTAAAGGGGAGGAGGGAAGAACAATTCCCAGTAATACTGCTGCTACAACGCAGCAGCAAATCCTAGGAGATGCGCTCCACCCTGAGACGGTGGGACAGAGGCACAGCCCCCTGCCCATGGGGTGAGCCCCAGGGGTGGATGCAGAGTCTGAAGGTGGTGGATGGACCCTCTGCTGCAGGCAGAACAGCATCATCTGTTCTGCAGCACTGCATTGTCCGTTCTGCAGCATGTTCTCTGGGGACTATCAACTCATGTTTACCAGTCTCTCTGGTTTTAAGGTAAGCTCCCTGCAAGTTTCCTTTGTCATGTGCAGAAAAACTGAAAAGCATGAGCTTAAAAATCTCAAGAACCAAGAGATGAAGAAAGAGATTTCATGATGTCTTTCAAACTGCCACGGCTTTAGAGAACTGCCCCTGCAGGGGATGGGGGAGGATGCAGGCACCTCTGTGCACCGGTGCTGGACCCAGGGCAGGAGGCTACTGGAAACCCTCCTCCCCTGCCAAAAGGCAGAAGGATGGGGCGGGCAGGCAGAAGGGACAGCAGACGCCATCAGACGGCTGGCTGTGCAGTGGGACAGACCCAGAGTCAATCTCAGCCAGCTTTGGATCTTGGCAGGTGGGAGGGGGATGCAAATTATTTGCCATCTTTTTTAAACATGGATGCTGTAACCACAGAGTAATGTAAGTTGGATGGGGCCTTTATAGGTTATTTGCTCCAAACCCCTGCTCAAAGCAGGACCAGCTTTGACATGGGCCATGTCCAGCCTAGGTGTGGAAATCTCCCAAGACAGAGATTTCACATCCTCCCTGGGCCCCTGCTCCAAAGCCTGGCCACTGCCACTGCACTACCACTGTTCATCACACAGAGCACCTGGCTGCAGTCCTATTAGGGAGCACAACAGTAATGAATGTGTCCTTTAGCCTTGTCTTCTGAGGACCATGTGGTATTTAACACCAGCAGAAACTAGCAACCTAGTCAAACATGGAACATGCTTGTTAACCAGCTGCTGGTACCTTTGGACTGAAATGCAAAATTTGAACAAATACTCAACAAAGAAGTTTTATATGTCACTTCTAAGTTCAACACATTGCTCCAGTCCCCAGAATCTCAGAACACCCTGTCAATCAGAAGCTCCAGAGCCAGTACAGCTCAACCAGAGCCAGCTACATGAAGGCAGACAAACATTTGCGCACTGTTCACTGCGTTTTCTCAGATACCAGGCTTTTGCAGACGTGTTTGGGATGAGTAGAAGCCATCAGGACCACGGGGGTGAGCAGTTGTGTCCGGCTGCAGGTCATACAACATGCAGGTGGTACAACGTGCCGGTGATACAACATGCCTTCCTTCCTACCACCACCATGCGACAGCTCCCGGCGAGCACCAGCGGGAGCCGCTGCTACCCAATGGGGAGAGCAACCACAACTGCGCAGCTGTGCCATCGCTCCTGCTGGACTCATCCCAGCCACTGGTTTTCTCCACTAGTCCCTATTAGCTGGGTCCTTTTGCCATCCAAGCTCCAGGTTTAGGACAGTGTTCTATTTAACCCTTCT